GTCCGCGCCTTCGGCCTGGCGGCGGCCCAGCTGGCGCCCGCTGGCGGCGCGCCGGGCGCCGCCGCAGAGCGCGAGGCGGGCGAGGGGGGCGCTCTCCCACTGCTGCTGCTGGTGCTGCTGCTGGTGCTGCTGCTGCTGCTGCTGCTGCTGCTGCGTTGCATTGTTTTGCATTGTGTTGTGTTGCTTTACACTGCTGTGTATTGCTTCGCATTGCTTTGCGCTGCAAGACGCGCATCAGATACCGGAGGTCCTCATGGACTCTTCGGGCCAGCGCTCCTCCGGCGCCGCCACTGGCGCGCCTCGTGCGTTAGGGCGCGGGTGTCCAGCGCTGGCCCAGGACAGGCGCGCGGACCTCCGACCGCCTATATGCTCATGCCGTCTTCTGGTCGTGCCCGGCCCGCGCGCGCGGGCGGTGGGTCGCCGAGGCTCGTTCGAGGTTCGCGCGAGGGTTCGAGGGTCATCGGTCCCTGCTGGGCCTCTGGGGACCTCAGGATGCCTGCGGGGACTTCGGAGGGTGCGCCGCCGCCGTCTTTGCCGTCGTCGCCGCCGCCGCCGCCGTCGTGTGTCATCGTCGTCGTCGTCGTCCGTCGTCCGTCGTCGCCCGTCGTCGCCCGTCGTCGTCCGTCGTCGTCCGTCGTCGTCCGTCGTCGTCTGTCGTCGTCCGTCGTCGTCGTCGTCGTCGCCGCTGCCGCCCGCCTCCGCTACCGCTGTCGTCGTCGTCGGCGTCGGCGGCGGCGGCGTCGTCCTCCTCTGGGGGAGGAGCGGCGGAGGCGGAGGAGGTGTGCGCGAGGCGGCTCGCGGCCGGTTGCTGGCGCACGTGTGGAGCGTGATCCAGGAGGCGAAGCGGGAGGGCCCCATCCCCGCGGTGCTCTTCGACGCCGTCGTGCACGCCTACTGCGACGCGGGGCTGCCCGCGCACGCGGAGGAGCTGCTCGGCATGGGCGCGGAGCTCGGCTGCGAGCCCAGCGCCGAGGCCTTCGCCCGCGTGCTGCACGCCCTCGAGGGCGAGCCGCGGCAGTTCTTCGCGCTGTGGGAGCGGATGCTCGCCGAGACGGGCGCGCGCCCCGGGCCGCTGGCCATGCAGCTCGCGCTCGGCGTCGCCGCTGCCTCCCGCGACGCGAGGAGGGCGCAGGCCGTGCTGGAGCTGATGTTCGCCGCCCGCGAGGCCCCCGCCGCGGAGGCCGCCGACGCCCTGCGCTCGCTGCCGCCCGGGCCCGAGGCCGCCGCAGTGCGGCGGCTGCTCAACGAGCTCGGCAGGGCGTGAGCGGCGAGGCGCGGCAGCGGCTGCGGGCGCGCGCGGAGCCGCAGCAGCGGCTTCCCGTGAGGTTTGCCTGTCCCGAAGGGGAAGGGGCTGGGTTGGCAGGGAGGAGGAGAGGAGGTGTCGGTGCCGCCAGCTCGTCCTGGTGGCCACGGTCGGATTCGCCCTGGAGTCCCAGCCAGGACGCACCTTGGGAGAGGCCGAGGAATAGCGGTATCGGCGTGTGTGTGTGTGTGTGTGTGTGTGTGTGTGTGTGTGTGTGTGTGCGTGTGTGTGTGTGTGTGTGTGTGTGTGTAGGCACATCTTTAACATGCATGTATCTATATGCATATATACACATTATATCTAATGATAACAATAATGAAGCTGTATATGTAATTACACAGAGAGGTACACATGTATGCACGTATCAATGTATACACTGTGTCCACATGTATGTATGTGTACACATATGTGGATGTATGTAGGCGTCTCTGGTGTGTATCGGAGGTGAGGGGGTGAGATCGAAGTGGAACGGCGAGCCCCCAACCGGGAAATCGGTTTCGGTTTCGTGTTCGTGCGTGCCGTGCGGGCGAGGCGAAGCTGCGTGGGCGGGCGAGAGAAAGTCTCCTGTGGCTGAGGCGCGGCCGGACCAAATGACTCCCTTCCGGGCGGCCGGGGCCCCGCGGTGTCCCGCCGGTGTCCCGCTGGTGTCCCGTGTGGCTGAGGCGCGGCCGGACCAAATGATTCCCTTCCGGGCGGCCGGGGCCCCGCGGTGTCCCGCTGGTGTCCCGTCCCGCGGTGTCCCGCGGTGTCCCGCGGTGTCCCGCTGGTGTCCCGCGGTGTCCCGCGAGGATGATGATGATGAGATGATGATGATGATGATGATGATGATGATGATGATGATGATGATGATGATGATGATGATGATGATGATGATGATGACATGATGACGGTGTCCCGATGAAGATGATGATGATGTTGGCTTTGGTGTCGATGATGATGATAGTGTCCCGATGATGAGGACGATGATGATCATGATGATTATGTTGATGATGATGACGATGATGGTGTCCCGCTGATGATGATGATGATGATGATGATGATGATTCCGATGATGTTGGTGATGATGATGTTGATGGAAATGGTGTCCCGTTGATAATGATGTTGAGGATGATGATATCGATCATGATTATGGTGTCCCGATGATGATGATGGTGGTGATGATGATGGTGATGCTGATGGTGTCCCGATGATGATTATAATGATAATGACGATGTTGATGCTGATGTTGTTCATGATGATGATGATGATGGTGCCCCAATGATGATGATGTTGATTATGATGATGATGATGCTGATGTCGATGATGATGATGATGATGCGATGATCATGATGATGATGGTGTCCCGAGGATGATGACGATGTTGATGATAATGTTGATGATGAGAACGAAGGTGATCATGATGGTGTCCCGATTATGATGATGATTCTGATGATGCTGCTGATGATGATGATGACGATGACTGTGTCCCGATGATGATGATGATGATGATGATGATGATGATGATGATGTTGATGTTGATGATGAGATGATGATGGTCATGATGATGCTGTCCCGATGATGATGCTGACGTTGATGATTTTTATGATGATGATAATGACGGTTCACTCATGGTGATGACGATGTTGGGGATGATGTTGATGATGATGATGTTGATGATGATGATGATGATGATGATGATGATGATGATGATGATGATGCTGATGATGATGATGATGCTGACGTTGATTGTGGGAGCGATTGTGATATCGATAGAGATATCTATATTGAGACCGAATGTGAGATCGATTGTGTGATCGATTGTGATATCGATTGTGATATCAATTGTGAGATCGATCGAATGAGATAGATCGAGTGAGATCGATTGTGAGATCGATCGAGTGAGATCGATCGAGCGAGACCGATAGTGAGATCGATACTGAGATCGATAGTGAGACCGATCCAGTGAGACGTTGGTCGCCCCCCCCCGAACCTCCTTATCACCCGAAGGGTGGTCGTATAGGTATATATACACAAGACTGCAGTGGCGCTTCGCGCCATACACCTTGGTCCTTGAAGTTTGGTGCGCAGGCGGAATGACAGGAAGGTCAAGTCGTCAAGCCGACAATTTAGCGATAACTCCTTGTTGCTGCATCTCGTTATAATTATGTTTTTCGTTATCCTTCCTCCATGCTTGTTTTTCTTCATTCTCGCCATACCTTGCGCATTCTCCCCATCCTCCTCAGCTCTTTTTGCGGAGGCTCCTTATTGGAGAGCCTCTGGGGGGCTCACACACACGTTTTTCATGCTTTCTTAAGACCTTCTGGATGCCTCCTGTATGTGTTCTCGGGGCCTCTGGGGGCTTCCTCGGGCCACCCTTCCTCCAACCGCGGTATCCCTGAACGACTGGGCCACGACTTGGAATGCCTCCGAGTGTGTTTTTGGGCCATCTTGGGCCGCCATGGAGCTCTCTTAGGGCCACCTTGGGCCCCTGTTGTGCCGTTTTGGGGCTTTCTTGGATTGCCTGGAAGCCCTTTCGCTTGCTTGTTGGGCGATTTTGGAACCTCCAGGCGGCTTCGGACGCCCAGAACACCGCCGTTTTGGAGCGACCATGAGAACATCTAGGATTTTTGCCTCTTAGGGCCTTCTTGGGAGTGCTCTTGGGGGCCTCTTGGGACGTTTTGGAGCGATCTTTGGGGGTATGACGGCTTCATGGTGATCGTCGTGGACCACATTGGGGCTTTTGGAGTCGTTTCGAGAGCGCGCTGGAGCGCCCCTGGAACCCGTCTGGGGCCGTCTTCGGGCTCTCTTGAGGTTCTCCTAGGTCGTCTGGAAGGTTGCCTGGAACGAGCTCATCTTACACTCGGCACGGATTAGTAGGTCGACCCTGTGTCTCGCGTCCCATGCCTCCTTACCTTGCTATGGCAATGTGGCTTTCGGAACCTCGGAAGGGTTTGTGTCCTCTTGCGTGTCCTGTCCAATCAAGTCCGACTGTAGCGCATTTGCGCATCTACGTATGTATACAAGTGCCACTCCGTAGCGGGGGCGGAAGTAGTGCCCACAAGTGTCGTCCCCATGTGGGGCCCCCAAGTGCCGCCCCCATGTATTGTCCCCACGTCTTGCCCCCAAGTATCGTCCCCAATGTATTGCCCCCCCCCTCCACGTGTTGCTCCGCGTATCGTCCCATGCACTGCTCTCGTGAGGAGCGAGAGAGAGACGTACACGTACGTGAATGCACGTTGGTTTCGAACATACGCATTGCGCGAACGTTCGTATCACGAGGCTGGTCGCGCTGATTGGGGGGCCGTATTCATGTACGTGCTTGGGCGCGTTCGTCCCAATGACCCCTCGACGCATTGGCTCCAGGTATCGGCCCCAGAGAGGGAGCTCTCCATCCAGCCACGCACGCGCAGGGAAGAGGTAGACATGCCGCCCCCTTGACTCTTCTATATTGTCACAGGTAAAGATAGCTATATACTTGTACATACAAGTCTGGGACCCCAAGTGGATGGCAAACGAGGCCGACATAGGTTCCACTATTATCCGAAGGCGGCCACAAGCATAGCGCATAGCCCAAAGAGAACCCCTAGCTAATCCAAATCAGTCAAAAGCCAGAGTAATGAGTTCGGCAGGCTTCTAATGTTCTTCTTGGATTCCCAGACTGTCGGTCAGATACTCTCCACGAGCGTCTCGGAGAAGCCGATGACCGTATGCGGTGGCCGGGGCCCCGGAGATAGCAGCACCACGGGCGCCATGGGCCTCCTCGGGGGTGGCTCTGGGCACTGGGGCCCTTGGGGCCTTCGGGGGAGGAGGAGGAGGAGGAGGAGGTGACTGAGAAAGAGGAGGAGGGGGAGGAGGAGAAGGAGACAGAGGAGGAGAAGGATTACCCAAAGGCGGCCCTCGACGCCCCTCGGCAGCGCCGCGGCGCCTCGACGCGGTCTCGCCGCAAGAGCGCCGTGTGACGCTTTGGCGGGCTCCAGGAGTTTCCTCGATCGCCCAAGCGACTGCCGAGATGGCCAAGGAGGGTCCCAGGGGCTCCAAACTTACCCGAAGACGGCCACGAGCGAGCCCCAAGAGGACCCCCAACCGACCCCAAGTGGCCCCCAGCACGTCCGGATATTGTGTGGAGTTTTTTTACCGAGGACGCCTCCGAGAGGTCCTCAAACTGATCCCAACAGGAGGGACCGCCACGTGTGCCCACTGGGTTGCATGATTGTCCAGCGCTTCAGATTTTCCTCGAAGGAGCCACGCACATGTTCATGCCCATCTCCATTCCCAGATCATCATCCAATCGATACCCGTACCCATAGCCTCTCCACTGCCTGCGCCCATGCTCGCACCGCCATTGGTATTATCATCAATACCTATGCCTGGGACGATTTTCGCACCATTCCTGCACCGAGTGCCCATAGCTGGCTTGATACACAGCCACCCAGCAGCACGCCCGGACGCACACCTATGAGTCATATCTACATGCGCAGCCGCACGCTTGCTCAGCCATGCCACGATTTGTTTCGTACACTCGTGCCAAGATTCTCCGACATGGCCAAATACACACGCCGATGCCCATGCACTTACTGCCATGCCTTCATGCTTTCAGACCCTTATTCGCGTACGTTGCAGGTGACCCTCACACGTGTTCGTTCCCAGACTGAATGCCCAACATACTTTCCGACGTTCGTACCAGACCTAGTTTCTATATTTGGGCCAGTAATCACATCCGTTGGCATGCGCGAGTCGATACCTTGGCGTATTCATTTGCCGAATATGCCCAATGTTGGTTCAATTTAACAGCAGGACCTCGGCCATGGAGGTTGACATCCGTCAAAGAGTGTGTGACAATTCACCTGCCGACTGGAGCAGCCCCGAAAGTGGATGGCGCTCAAGCGGGTGACCGTGACTCAACCACTCTTGCAATTGTGTTGCATCAGTGGGCATGGCGGGAAAGAGCTCTTTTTGTGGCCGCTTGGAGGGTCCCCCCCCCACCCCCCCGGTTCGACCGGGGCGGGGTGGGCCTCCGTAAGAATGGCTTCGGGCTCCGAACCCTGGGGGGGGGGCCC